GGGGGTAGTCGGAAATTTGAAAGTTTTGTCAGAAATTTAGGAGGCTTTGCCCCCCCCACCGGGAGAAGTGAATTTCCGCCACTGCTAGCTATAACTTGTACCTAGATGCTCTAGAGAAGAGCTAGGCAGTACAGTATTGCAATCATAGGTGTAAAGTTTTGTTTTTGTCTGATGGGCTGATTTTGAAAAAAAAACTTAGCAAGCATTCAAAACTATATATTACTCAGACCCGACCACTGTGACCAGTATTAACGTAACAGATCCACATAATTCGTACAGTACAGGGTTAGTACAGACTATATAATATGTATAGTTAGAAGTTACCGCAATAATAAGTTCTGCAAATTTATTGAGGCTGAGCCCCCCAGTAAGATTTCTCGAGGGGCTCAAACCCCCCCAGCCCCCCCCCCCCCATACTCTACTCCTATGATTGCAATGGAAGCAACCAAAGTTGTTTTTGGACAATTCAACCATGCTCATGGTATAAATAAAACTATAACATACTGTAGATGTATCAAGTTCCATATTAAATATGGTTTTTAAAAACAAAATTTAAGCTTGTTGAAAAGCAAAAGTACAGGTCTATCCTGGCTTACATTAACAGAATAACAGACCAATGTTTTTGTTGAACTACCTAGAATTGAGGTATTCCATTAGAATTCCAAAATCCAAAGAAGCAGCTGATCCTTAATTGTTCTCTATTTTTCTTGTACAACAACTGAAAAGGTTTATCATCAGAAACAATAACCTCAGCCCTTCCAGCATTTGAAATCGTTTTCTTTAAGCGGTCAGACATACCAATGTTTTTAAACAAATACACAAGCTTTCTCACATCAATAAATTTAACTATATCTTCCTTTGCAGTTTGAGTGACCACAGTACAATAGGATGTATTCGCTGTACACATAGATAATATATGCTCAAAGATCTTGAGTGGCACATCACATATTAATAAAATTGTCCATCCGGTTTTCACGAATGGAGTTCTCCGTAACTTTTTGAAGGTTTGCGAGCGCCAGATTGAAATTTCCCGGCTTTCCCATGTTAAATTGAAAGCAGCCTTGTTCTTGTGTACGAGCGTTAATGCAGGAAAAAATCCCCACCGTGTTTTGGAAATTTGATCTTTGCACTTCCATAATGATGTGTGTTGTCTAGTTTGTCAGTAGTAATGGGAATGATCTTGTTTTCTTCATTTCCTTTGTCCGAGTCTGCGGTTTCACCGTTCTTTCTTCTCCGAACCATTTCGCATAGTCGATTCTTGTAGTGATATATCCATGCGATAGCCTTCTTCAGTCCATTCCACGTTGAGAATTTCTCGAAACGTTGACACATGGGATTGATTCTGCTCTCTTCGAGTATGTCTAGCTTTTGTCGCATCATCTGAGTATGTCTAGCTCTTGTTGCACCATCTTGTCCAGTCTTGTTGCCACCACAGCTGCAGAAAGTTCCATTTGAGGAATTGTGACTGCCTTCAATGGCGCCAGTCTGGATTTTCCGATTAGAAAACAGCAGTGGACATCTCCATTTCGATTCACTATTCCGAGAAATGGTGGATCTGGCTGCTCACTATTTTGCCAAAGTTAGTTGGTTTAAAACAACGGTCACTGAACCGGGGACTGAAATCTTCTTTGTGGTCTTTGGCAATCTTCTTTCAAGCAAAGTTTGCACAGCTCGGGGAGGAAATACTTCCGAAGAGGTGTACCAACATTTGATATTCTTCCGGGACAGCCGTCATATCTCCTTAGGGAGTCACAATCTTCCACAGGAACACAGACTTGATGGAACATGACTTCTACGTCGGCCACAAATGCAATGGGGCCTTTTTGAAATCTGGTTAGAACCCCTATCAATGATTTTGCGAGGTCCGGCCCCTGTAGGAGCTGGTCGTTCAGGGAAGTGCCTCAGTATTTCGCGGGACAGTTGAACATGACTCTGACCTTTTTGGGTTTTTGCGGGTGGAAGACTGGATGATGTGGCAAGTACCAAGATTTTCCACTTCTCTGCAGGCGTTCGTTTGGCACCTTTCTGGCGTGGCCTTGTTTCAGAAGATTGTCTCTGAATTCGGAATATTTCTCCCATAAAACTTGATTTTTGTCGAACTGTTTCTTCAGAAGGTGTAGTCAACGTTCTGCTAAGGGTTTGTTATTCGGCATTTCAGGCAAAGATTTCTTCCAAGGTAACACGATTTCGTAGTGTCCGTTTTTTAATAGGGATTCTTTGTTTTGGTATTTGGATTTGATATATCCATTCTGTGCCATTTTTCAGTCATTTTGTATTACAAACGGGAAATACATACTCTTTTTCGGAAGGAGGTATGTATTTCCAGTGCGTAATACAAAATGACTAAATATTGCAAACTTCACAAGGCTATATTATCCGCATTTTACAACATTTTGCAACAAAACTTTGGAATATTACTAATTTTGTGATGCTCTTTCAAGCTGTGATAATTTTTTTGTCTAGATTTGTTGAGATCTAAATTTTAGTCAAAAGGTGAAAGGTCTGTTGGATTATCAGTTTCTGTTCTTCCAAAGCTTGTCTTTTAGCGAGTAGGGCAGATTTCGCTGCTAGAGCGGCCTTTTTGGCTTTGAAGCTGAAATCGATGAGCTCATGCTACGTTTCGACAGGTTTCACACCTTTGTTGCCTTTGAATATGCTTTCGATCCTGTGTTACTCACAGAATCTTCTGGGTGAATTTTGGGTACTACATTGTCATGTTTCCAAGTCATGTTTCCTTTCTCTTAGGTCAGACACTCCTTCTATGACGGCATTGTGATAGCCGTTTGATTCCAAAATGTCGTCTTCATCTCATAGATTATCGTGAAAAGCCGTATAAGTTTCAAATTTTTCGAGGGCTTTATCTAATTCGGAGAGCTTTTCCTGTAATTCTGGCTAACTGTCTGCGTTCGAAATTAGGTTTAGCAGTTCGTTTCGACAAAGTACCTTTAGCGCTGCTTCTAGCTCTTTTAAGCTGACGAATATCAATGGTTTTGTGGTTTGCGCATGTGTCGCTTCACTTTGCGCGATTTCGGGCTGACCATTTCGTATTCTATTCCAATTTCACTCATTATATCACAATACACTTAAGTCTGTCGTGAGTTAAGGATAGATTCATTCAAAGACATTCCAATCATTCCTTTTAGGTTGTACAGAGTCACACAATGTTCAGTTTATTTCAAATCAGTACAATACAATCAGGCTGCAGTGAAATTATGCAGAATATCAAATCGGACCGTTTCTATTACAGATCTGCTTGCTCTGATGATTTATTAGACTATGTAATAGTACTATTGGCAGTCTTTGTGACACACAACATAATATATGTGACTGCAATTTTTATGAGAATATAGAGACACTATTTTTCTTATAATTGATGTTAGTTTTTATGTGTTTATTATAGAAATTATATAGATATTTATAATATCATTGTTTGTACAAACACTGCCTAAAGATCTCATACATAAGATCTCATCGGAGCAAGACGTGTCTTTAGAGCTCCGCTATTTTCGAACAAATTGTGTTATATAGATATCTTTCTAAAATCTTCGGTTTAGATTGTCGTAAGAGTGTTAATGCAATGATTTAAACGACGACGAACACGCTGCAGACTCCAATTCGGGCGATAGTACCAACTTAGCAATGCTTCAGCGAGATCTACAAGCTATGATTGATCGTCGTTTTAAACAACAGACAGTTGAATTGAATGATCTCTTTATTAAAGAATCAAATTCGACTAAAGCCACTTTAGTTGAAATAAAGGAGAGTCAAGGATTCCTCACAGCAAAATTTGAAGAGCTAGTCAGCACTGTAAATGAAGTTAAGGCAGGGAATAGCAAATTGCAGAAACAAAATGATCATTTACATCAACAGGTTAAGGTCCTTGAGGAAAAATTTGCTTCAACTGAAATGGACATTGAAAACCTACGTCATTACTCACACAGGGACAGGGGCGGATCTAGGGGACGTCAAACCAGTCACGCGACTAACGTAAAAATTGCAAACTAAATTAAAGTCTTAAATATTCGACCAATAGTCCAGTTATTTTTTATCATGCAGCAACACCTTTATAATATATTGTCCAGTATCTATTAGCATGCAGCGTTAGCAATTAACATTCCAATCGAACTGTAGTCCAGTGAACAAATTTCATACAGTGGTTGAGCCGACGAGCTTAGTCAAGTCAATGAGCAGCTGACATACACAAAGTCGGTCAGTCAAAAAGTCAAAATCCAGTGTTTTGATTGGTCTAGATGCTTATTGCCATGGTAACAAGCAATTTTTTTGCGATTTTGACCGATCTGTGGGGAGTTCTGACCGATTTACAAAAGTCAGGGGCGCTCCATTAGTCGGAATATCATTAATATTTGACACATGGTAAAGTCTTTCAGAGCGCGCGCTCATTCGAAGTGTCATGTTGTAGCTTTGTCGAAAGATTCAATTTAAAGATATCTACGGAAAATTCGGAAATGTCTGCTGCTCCAGACTACAGTCCTTGTAGTATTCACAAAACGGTTCAGTCCGCATTTGTGGTGAATGATTTATCTGTCTTAAAAGATTGTTGCGCTGATCTTGGGAGGAAAATCAATGCTAAATATCGGAGAGTTCCATTCAGTGAGCAGTTGCTAAGCGGCGTAAGCGCCACGAATAGCACGAACTACAGTTTGACTGTTTGAATTGGCACCGAGATCTTTATTCTGAAGTAAAATAAGGTAAATTTAATGTGATATCATGTAAATTTTATTTCGTTTTAGACAGCATAACAATATTTATAAGCGAACAAGATGCGCGCCATGCATATGTAAAATTGTAACTTGAATATGCGTATCTTGATTTAGATTTAGCTATGAATTTTGATTTACACAACAAATTTGCATATTTGTAATTCTACGGTTGAAGGTCCATCAGAACTCAGAAGGCTATTAATATGGAGGATAACTTGACTATTGTTCAGCTAATAAACTAGCTATTAACTTTAAAAAAAACTAATTACATGATCATTAGTTCACATAAAAAACAAATATCAAATGTCAGAATTCATGAGATTGAACAAAAAGACTACATCAAATACCTGGGCGTCTATATTGATAAGCACCTTAAGTGGGGCCAGCAAATAAACCACATAAAAAGCAAAATATCTAAAAACACTGGCATCCTTAATAAGTTGCGATATTATGTGAACCTACAGATGTTGAAGCAACTCTACTATTCCCTAATCTATCCATATCTTAACTACAGAATAATGAGCTGGGGAAACACCTATACTACCCATCTATCCAAAATTCGCATTGCTCAAAATAAATGTGTACGAAACATTTTCTTTGCGCATAAAAGAGAAGATGCCAGTACCTACCTCAATCTATTGGGAATACTCAACGTTGACAATGTTTTTAAATTGAAAATTGCAATTTTTACATATAAAATCCTTAACAACTTAATACCGTCAGTTTTTGAAAACTCCATATCCATCGCATCTACCTGTCACTCGTATAATACAAGATTCGCGGCAAATCAAAACTTTAGCAGACCAAAAGCGCGCACAAATTACGGCAAACACACTTTTCTTTTTTCGTCATCCAATATTTGGGAAACGATAGACCTACATATTAAGCAGTCGACTTCAGTTAGAATATTTAAATCTAAATATACAAGAAAACTTATCCTAAGCCAAACGTAGAATCCATACACTGATCCAGCCACACCAAACACGTCATGTTCTTTTTTCTCAATTATGTAAACAGTCACAAAACAACAATTTTGTAAACGGTGGCCAACTCGAAAGCTTCTCAGCTACTTTGGCCACTGTACACGATATAATACCATAATTAACTCCCTTTTTTTCCCTTCCATTATGATTTTTTTGTGATGTAATTAATGCCTAACTGTATCTTTTGTAAACGTGTGAAATAAAATTGAATTGAAACCTATATTAAGGCAGTGTACATAGGATATAAAGGTCAGGTTTTATAGATGAATATTAAGACTTTAATATTGATATGTTTATTTGAGTAATATGACACTGTAGTGATTACTAGTCAAGTGACCAATGACTCAACAAGGCTATTAGGCAACAAAAATGAGTGTAGTACTATCATGAGATAGTTAAAAATAATACTAACAATCCGTAATTTGATAAAATGAAACATCTTCCACAATTATCACATTTCTGCAAGTACTTCTCTTTTACTTTTCCCTAAGGAGTGAGTTGTGAGAGAGTCAGTCACATAGACACATACATATAAACATATACATAGACATATACAGATATTTTTCTCTTTTCCCTAATGAACAAGTTGTAAGAGTAAGTCACAAAGACACATACACAGTCAGACTGATAGTTGCTGTAATTATCTCCCATTTCATGAGATAATATAATTAATAATATAATATAATATAATGTTTTTTATGAGTCTATGCTATCAGTAAGTCATCGCTTGCCTTCAACAAGAGGTAATATTCCTACAATTATCACTAAATTTGTTAGGCGGGACATACATGATATGATTTATAATAGTAGGAGACAAAATCTTAGTTCCAAGTCAAGCATGGACCTTGGCTTTTCTACTTCAAACCGTATTTACATTGATGAAAGCTTAACGCCTCAGAGTCGGGCTATATTTGGAGAAGTAAAGAAATTCCGAAATCAACAACATTTTAAATTTATCTGGACAAGGAACGGAAAAGTGTTTCTGAAGAAAGATGAAAGTCAACAATCAATCGCAAGTGTTTTTGATTGATGGAAGAGTTTGAAAAGTTTAGAAGAAATTTCCTTCATCAAGGATAGTTCTGTACATTTTTGAACTAAGTGATTTAGTTGTGTGTTAATTACTAATTACTTTTAAGTCTTGCTAATGATGTTTTTCCTATATAAAGTTTGTTTATTCACTGTAACCAGGTATATGAATCATGTTTCGCTCATCACCCAGTAAGCGCCATAAAAGATCCGTAGCAAAAACTTTGCTTCAAAGAGCTGAATACTTGCCATCAAACAGTGATTCTCAAGCTAAGGAATGTGAATATGTTCTAAATGTTTTAGGGGAAAACAATTACCCAAAGCGTTTTCTTAATGATTGCCTGAGATCACCTGTTTGAACCAAAATAACTCTGAGGGTGATACCTCTGTTAAGGGTTATGCAATAGTTCCATACATTCAAGGTGTCACAGAACCAATCAAGAGAATCCTAAGTAATTGTAATATTAAGGTTGCCTTAAAACCCTATTTGACTTTAGGCCATATTTTTGCAAAGCCAAAAGATCCTGTTAAAACAAATCAGAAAACTCACGCTGTATATTTTATACCATGTGGTGACTGCGACAAAGAGTATTTGGGTCAGTCTAAACGCCAGTTTGGTACACAGCTACATTGCAACAAAATTCTCCTTTTGACGTCATGTCCAATAACTTTAAGAGCTAATAAATCCATGAAGATGAAATTTTTCAATAACAAGATATATTGCAAAGTGTGTTAAAATTCCTTAAACTTTCGAGATATGCAAACTCCGAAACCTTGGTATGGGTACTTTAAGAGTTTCAAACATTCAGGTAGATTCAAGTGAATGATGTGATATTTACAGTGGTTTACAATTACAATATACTGATTTACAACATCCAATTATTGACAGTTCCACCTACTTATAAGATTAATGACTGTTCACATTATAAATAATTTAAGGTTTTAGTGTTTTTTTGAGAAGAAAGCAGTATTGTTTTGGCAAATGTTTTGAATTATTGGGCTAGGGCTAACAGGACTTCCCATAGCATAACCATGAATTTGTTTGTACGTTTTCTTGTTGTAATTAAAATAGCTATTAGTAAGAGTGAAGTGTAAAAGTTTAATTATGCCATCAATTGATAGTTTGGTTCTGTGATGTAAGGTTTTGTCTTTCCCAGTTTGTTGTGTATGTGTTGACACGCCTTGTCAACAGGAATTGCTGAAAAAGTGATACAACGTTAAAAGACACTATATTTCATCATTGTCAATGTGAGTTTCAGTGAGTTTCTTGGCAAAATCAATAGTGTAACGGTTGCTTGGATTGGTTTATAAACGGGGGTTTTACTGAGCCGATATTCGAGAGACACACGATACAATACAAATAGTATAAACTTTAGTGATAAATCAGCATGTAAAAACTACAAGAAATAAGACACAATAAACTAAATTACATTATATAAAGACACACACTTAGACTAAAAACAAGTAAGCTATGACCCTAAACGTGTTCAACGTACCTCTTTCCCCGCTTTACTACGACATAAACGATCGCGATTCGAGATACAGTTTTTCAATACGTACAGTAAACAATGTGGCGATAATTATGTAGGTGTTTCGCACCAAACAGCATAATTAAGATAAATTATGACGATTATGTTACATGGCTCTCCTAAATTGTTCATTGGAGCAATTTAAACATAACAACAACTATTTAATAATCAAGTACTGTGTGGTAAACACACTAACAGTTCACTTATCTTTACAGTTCCTCATGGATCCTCATTGGGGAATCCCTGGTCTTCTTCTCCTTCAGATACCAACAGGACTAGCTTGTGAACAGGTCTCTCTAATAGGGTTTCACCATGGACACGTTTCCCATTATTATCTCGAGCACGATCACCTACTTTGATCTTGACCTTTCGAACAAGCCCATCTTTATCTGGATAAACATCTTGTACCTGAGCAAGTTGCCATCGATTTCGCGGTAACTCATCGTTTTGCAGGATTACAACATCACCAACCTTCAAATTTCTATTTGGTCGTAACCACTTTTGTCGTGTTTGTAGTTATTGCAGGAACTCCTTCCTCCAACAATCCCGAACTCATTTGCTAGGTGTTGGACACGACGCCACCGTTTTCTCGAGTATAGGTCGGCTCTTTGGAAAACGCCGGGCGGAGGTAGAACTACGTTGGTTTTAGAGGTTTTATGGCTTCCGCTTCGACCATGAGGGTTTGAAGCAACTCGTCATCCAGCTGGGTACCATGGTGGTCGAGGAGAGCGGACAATGCACTTCGGACGGTTCGGATTTGGCGCTCCCAGACACCACCCATGTGGCTTGCGTAGGGAACGTTCATTTCTGCATTGATTCAATCGCCTTCAATCGATTCTTCGGCAGATCCGCCATTTTCTGGTCTAGCAGCACGTAGTTTACAACATGTGACACATTTCGATATGTGTCTAGCGACAGCTGAACCTCCACCGACAATCCAGAAACCAGACGAACAAATGGCGGCAAGTGTCATTCCGCGACCTTGATGATGGATCCTATCATGATGATAACGAATAACTAAGTCAGTCACATGTCCTTTCTTGGGTAGGATATCAGGATGCTTTACGTTATCTGGCAATTCAGCATGTCTGAGTCAACCACCCACTCGCATAATCCCATCACAGTCGATGAATGGATCCAGGCGCGATAAAGTACTTGCCTTCTTTAATTTCTTACTGCGCTTGTTGGGGATAAAGGCGTCTTCTTTCATAGATTGAAGAATTGTCAACTCACTCTTGAAAGCTTGTTCTTCGACATTCTTCACGATCTCTTTCTCCGCATTCAGAAGATCTTCCACCTCGACTCCTTTGCTGGGTGTGTATGGGCTGTGTGAAGCTTCGTTTTCTTTTGAATGATTTCTTATGTGATCACCTTCGCAAGCAGTTTTTTCATGGACTTTTGCAATGAGTTTTTCTTTAAAACGCAAACAGACTGCAACAGCTTTCTTGGCCTTGTGCCAGTTGGAAAAGTGTTGAAGACGGTCAGCTATAACAAGATCCTCTGGGTAATTTTGCTTTCTCTTCAAACGAGGATTTAAGATTTGACCAGGTTTACACTCTTTCTGTCATTCTCTCCGCCCCCAATATTAATCCACTTGTGACCTCGTGCGGTTAACCAATCACAAACAACCAAACTTTAATATTTTTCGGCAAGGTGTTTATCACATTTATCTTTATAGCTTTATAGCTACAAAACGCAAACACAGTAGAAAAGTCACCGAAGCCGACATCGCGCATAGTTTGAACATTGAGAGATTCTGTAAATACTATATCATAAGCTTTCTAATGTTGTCGCAATGATATATGACTCCGAGAAATAACAAACGGCTTATACTTTAGTGAATTTCACACCTTGATATTTGACGCCAGCAAAGTTCAATCATAATTACAAGTTTCGCGCGAAGCTATTCAGTGGTCATAGCAGTTCCCCCTATATCTCGGTCGCTTTTTAACATTTTCTTAAAAAAGTTGCTGGAATTGAGAGATATATCATTACTTAATATGAATATATAAAAAAAAATTTGGACAAAATCAGAGTTTCATCACATAATGTAACCTTAAACAGAGTAGTCCTGTCAGCAACAAAAAGTCACTGCTATCAATAGGAGCTCTGATATACAAGTAAAAATAATACATATGTTCAATAATTTATAAATGTAAGAGTTTTATAATATAAATTCAAGTTCAATATGAGCTAAAAGTTTAAAGCTAAAAATTCTATACTATATTAGAAAGTCATTGGCACTGTTTAAGTTTATTATATATATTTACAGCCATTATAGTAGAAACTTCGTTTTGCAGATTCTGTTCTAACTCTAGGCAAGTGAAGATGTTCACTTTGTCTGGTTGCATGTTGAGATATATTCTTATTAAAATTAAAGTAATTTTTAAAACATTGTGGGCAATTGCCACTAATACATTTATTAACTACATTAAAAGTGTGATGCTCACATCTGCTTAAAAGAGTTCCCCACTTCAGAGAGGCCATCGCACTGTCACTGTCTTTCGATTTACAAACTACCCGCGCCGCTTGTCTTTGAAGCTTTTCGAGAGAGTTGGTGTTCACTTCGCCACAACAGTTATACACTGAATCGCAGTAATCCAAAACTGGGCGGATGAATGATACATATATTGTATTCGCACAATGCACAGTTACATTCTTCCTAATACATCCCAGCATCCCGATCCTTTTTCCTGCTTTCCCAAGAACATATTTCACATGAGCATTCCAACTAATATGCTCATCAAGTATAATACCTAGGTATTTAAATTCAAAAACGCGGTGAATGGTGTGCCCGTGAATCTGAATTTGGAAACGATCTACGTTTTTCAATCTAGCAGCAGTTCCAAATAACATTGACTCAGTTTTTTTGACATTGACAAATAAACTATTATCACGCAACCAGTCCCATATTAAGTTAAGTTCATCATTAAGTCTTTTTTCGATCGTGGAGACATCCGAGCCGGAGCAGAATAATACAGTATCATCCGCATACATCAAAATGCTGCAATTGCAAATTTAATCAGGTAAATCGTTCACGTGTAGTATAAACAATAAGGGGCCCAGGATTGATCCCTGTGGTACCCCAACTATCACAGGTTCACTGTCTGATAGGACATCATTAAGACCAACAACTTGGGAACGACCTGTCAGATAGTCGTCAAATCAGTTTTGCTCATGACCTATGACCCCAATAGCGGATAGCTTACCAAGCAAAGTCGTATGGTCGACGGTGTCAGATGCCTTCCGCAGATCCACAAAAACAGCACCTGTCATTTGACCAAGGTCAATGTTCTTCCGGATAGTGTCAGCAAAAGAGAGGGCTGCAAATTCAGTAGAATGACCCTTCCTAAAACCACCCTGCTAAAGACTTAAAAGATTGTGTTCTTGAATGTATGTGACAAGCTGTGTATGTACAGCTCTCTCCAACAGCTTGGAGGCAATGGGCAAGATAGAGATAGGACGGTAATTGTCCATGTTATTAACATCACCTTTCTTGAACAATGGAATGACACGTGCTGATTTCCACTCCACAGGCACTTTAGCCTGGTGCAACGATGCATTAATGATAACTGTTAAAGGCTTTGTGACAATATGTGCGGCATCTTTAAGTAACCGCGGTGGAATATCATCCAGTCCGACTGCTTTACTAGTTTTGAGACGGCGAAGCTGGCAAAAAACAAAGTTTTCTGAAACTTCAAAGTTTTCTGGAATTCAAAGGGCAGGCGCTGATCGGCTTGGGCAAAATCTCCAGTACGTTTAACATTATTGAATGCAACAGACACAGCTTCGTTAAAAGAGTCAAAAAGACGACGAGCAGCCCAGCAAAAAACTATTCAACGCATTCGCAATTACCCTTGTATCCCATGAAATATTGTCTCCAATCTTCATCCTCGCAGGCATTTCTTTAGTTTCTCCAGGAATTTTTTTTTTACCGTTTTCCAGAAAGCTTTCGGATCTCCACTATTTTCTTCGATAAGTTGCCTATTGTAGCACCCTTTAGCAACTTTAATTTTATTTGTTACACAATTTCTGAGACATCGGTATCTTTCCCAGTCTTCAGATAGATTTGTTTTCCTTGCTTTTTTTATTGAATTTCTGACGCCCTTAGAAGCCAAAATACGAAAGTGATTTCTGAAGGCTTAATTAATCAAGGCCCCAATATTGTAAAAAGGTATCAGAAAATCTGAACCCTGCAACATAGAATTCCGCAAAATCATGCAAAAATGATAAATCTCGAGACACAGGGTTCAGAATTTCTGACCCCCTTAGAAGCGAAAATACTAAAGTGATTTCTGAAGGCTTTAGGCCCCAATGTTGTAAAAAGGTGTCAGAAAATCTGAACCCTGCAACATAGAATTCCGCAAAATCATGCAAAAAATGCAGATAAATCTCGAGACACAGGGTTCAGAATTTCTGACCCCTTAGAAATCAAAATACTAAATTGATTTCTGAAGGCTTTAGGCCCCAATGTTGTAAAAAGGTGTCAGAAAATCTGAACCCTGAACATAGAATTCCGCAAAATCATGCAAAAAATGCGGATAAATCTCGAGACACAGGGTTCAGAATTTCTGACCCCCTTAGAAGCCAATAGGTCCTTTTATAAGTTAATAGAAAAAAGTTAAGATGTACATGTGCATGCCTGGTTTAGAAACCATGTAATTCTTGAAATAATATAAATATATAAACATGAAAGTCGAGTACTCTATCTACATCTACAAATTCTACGGTCTTATAGTTGTTTTACTTGCCATCCATGATCAGCTTTCTAAAGTTTCTTTTCGTGACGAATTCCTCATCATCAGACTGGACAATACAAAGACCATTTCGCTTTATCCCAACTGCAGCAATAACTGCATTGCCTGTAATAAGTTACAAATACTGAATATTAGAGTATATACTGAATAGAATCGTATGTACAATGTACTTATGTATAATGTATATTACTGCTTGAGCATTAGCTGCATGCAGGCCCATCGAGGGAAGAATAGTGGGCCTGCAAGGAAGACTGGGTATTTTGTATTTGTCGTGTTCGCACACGAACGCAGCATGCTGATTGGCTCTTTGCTGTTAGACTCTATAATTAGATCAGTGATTCATCACAAAGGCTCTCAATAAGCTTAATATTGCATCTGATCACTTTTTTCGATTAATAATGACCAGTACAAGAACCGACCGTTTATTGTTTACTTGAAGGAAGAGTTGTTTTTGCTGTTATGCCAGCGGGGATTGCTTGTCATGAAGTGTTAGAATAGCAACATTACCACTGGGGTAAACTATAGATAAACCTTTTAATACTTGAGTTTTGTTAATTTCAAACAAATTTGATACGTTTATATGTTCCTTAAGAAAATTATGTTTTGGTTCATGTTGACTCTGTTCTTACACTGAAGAAAACAGCACTTTTCATGCCAGGTGAAGATTTAGAGGTAGTTGCAAGTAAGCCTATTCAAAACACTTTGCAATTAGCAGGGCTTCCTCTCTGAGAGGGCGAAACAGAAGATGGTTATTACCGTTTGAAAATATCTGGACTCTGATCTCTTTCTTCTTTTGTCGAGTTCTTTACCAAATTAAATAACTGAAATCAATTTCGTCCTTTGTGAAACTACGTAAGTGAAAATGAGCACTTGCAAATTGGGCAATGATTTGAAGCTGACTGGTTTGCTTGCTTATTTAGAGTTAAACATAGCCATTTACACATTGTTTCTATTCTGAATACGCAGAGAAAACCCCACAACATTTTAATGCGAGTTTGTGTAATACCATTTGGGTTGCTGTCATTGGTTCTTTTTTGACAATTGATGCACAAATGGGGCATGTTATGAAAAGGGCGTTTCACAAAACACCTGGTCTTCCTTGCAGGCCCACTATTCTTCCCTCGGTGGGCCTCCACTTGGGCTACATAAGCATGGACAGTATTCACTGTAAAGCAAGGGCGGATTTTCATTTATGCAAAAGGAGGGGTAGAAACATTTCTGGTGGGGTACAAGCGGCATCACTCAGTGAGCTTCAGCAGGGGTTAGGCATTTGGGTTAAAGCCTTTCACACAAAATAGGAGGGGTGAAGTGAAATTTTGGTGGGGTTGAACAGTTTATTGGAGGGGTTAGAAAGATTCTAGGGGGGGGGTTAACCCCTCCCCCCAGTAAATCCACCCATGCTGTAAAGTAACAAAGCTTTCCTGTCGCACTGTAGCCAAACAGATATTAATTACTATAGGGTACCTTGTGAAGAGTTGATATCGAAGAGCCAGTCACCTTCATGGCTAAACATTCTTATTAGATCATTTAACCAACCACATGCATTCCTCTGTCCTTGATTAATTAAATTTGATGGACAACTTTCACCAAAGTTGAAATGGGCCGGCAGTAGCTTATCACCAATGTTCGGAAGCATGGTACACCATAAAAGCACTAACTGACTGCATCATAGCGAGGTTTCCTAAACCACAGGTAATAGATTAGACAGTGCAGTTCACAAATAAAGTGGGGCGCATTGCCAGTCAATGGATTAACAGCAGAAATTCACAGATAGAGAATAATGTTAGCACATTAATTAAGGTGCCAGACTCTAACACCTTGACAAGTAAAATCATCTGGCATTAGACAAAGTAAAAGAATAACGTCGGGCGCCATTTGAGCAATGACAATGGTCAGTCAATGGAATGGGTATTTGTATTATAAATATGGAAACTGCAGTACATAATTACCCCTTTGACAATGCCTAGAAAATTGTAAACATTTAACAATTATTCGCCAAAGTGATTATCGGGGAATATTCGCCAAGACAAAGTCTTCCACAAAATGGCTAGCCGCCGTTTTGAAAATTTTGGTTTTGTTATATTCACCTGTTAAGCTACATAGCTTAATACTCCAAATTTGACCAATCAACTTGTAGGATTTGTTATATTCACTTGTGCAAAAATACTCAATATAATTAAGTTAGTACAATAATTAAGCAATTTGAAATACTGTATCATCACTAGTGTACTACAGTATGATGCTTGTGATGTTACTCTGAGTGTATATCCACACCGGGCAAGCTTGAAAAATATGCCTGTCCTCGGTGGGAATCGAACTTACGACCTTTGGAATACTAGCCTAATGCTCTGCCAACTGAGCTACGCGGTCAGGTCGGTTCGAGTAAGTAATATTTCGGAACAGAATCTAGTTCCTTCGATATCAATGTAATCTAGTAATCATGATTTTTTTCTCTGTTGATGCTATGTACTCAGGTGAATATGATGCTTGTGATGTTACTCTGAGTGTATACCCACACTCAGAGCAACATCACAAGCATCATATTCACCTGAGTACATAGCATCAACAGAGAAAAAAATAGTGTACTATGGTTTGTAAAACTTACAGCAAAACGAAGCAACTGTTCTGCTTTTGTGCACTCTGGAAGTTCTTTTGCAATTATAATCTCCCATGGTTTTCCAAGGAAAGAAGAGATGATCCCTTGAATAGGTCTAATTGATTTATCCTCTTTAGCCAACACTTTTAGCTCATTAAGACTGATGTCTTCCTTCGCAACCTTGAAAACAATTGTAATTATTATAAACAATGACTCTTCATATTACAAATCATCAGTTCATCCCTTATTATGTATTGAAATATCCATGTCAACAACTGCTGCATAGATACCGGTACTGTATTAAGGGTTGTTTATATGGTCAACTGAGACAACTTCATATGCGTTTGGATGAAAATTTGCCAAAGACGAATCTCTGGGTTTGACTGAAAAGGGTTTCCAGAATGCCTGGTCAACTAATACTATTTATTTATTTATTTAGCTTCGTCTATAATTACACAATCAAACAACACGTACACACAACCATTTCTGTCCAACCCGAAAACGAGCAAACTTCATCGCCCCTGTCTATGTTTCAACATGATAGTAAAACAAAAACATACACCCTTGACCGCTAACCTAGGACGGTTTAATTTTACAATTATATTAATTTTAGAATAGCTTTATTTTTATGAGCCCAACATGACTTGGCATAGACCTAGACAAAACATATCGAAACGCAGCAAATACGCCCAGCCTCCACGTTTCAAGGTTGGACAAAAAGGTGACAACAACAAAAAGGCGGGGTCACCGCAACAGCTTCAAACCAATTACTGTGGGCCCTTGGATACAGAAAACACAGCTAATATATAAATTGAAACTGATAATTGATAGTGTACATGTACACTGGAGTGCAGCCTGGTCTGAAATTTGCAGTATCCCGATATCCACAGATACCAAAAATTTGGTTTTGGATACCAAACTGTGAATGATTTGTATCCCGACTGGATACTAAGAAATGGTAGAATGGTTAGATATAGGCTATGGGCTAGTGTATATTTTAGTCAAATTATGCCTGTTTTAAGACCGTTAGTTATGCAGTTTTGCTCTTATTACGCGTAATAGGGTAATAAGCATTGATACTAGCTATGTAGGCAAAGTGACCTATTAAGGTAATAGGGTATTAAGCAATGGAATAGTACAAAACAAAGTCTGAAAACATATCAATCTACGTGAGAAATCCGAGATATGGATTAAAACAAGAATATAGACCACTGGAAATAGGTCTGAGAGTGAACATATGGACGATCCTATATACAAAGGTTAATATAATACTAAGCATTCGGAATATAGGTATGATCTATGGACGTATGAAAGTTATAACTGTTAATAAGCATTCGTGTCAATGATGTGCTGTACTTATACCTGCACCTGCTATAAAATTTACTTTAATATTAAATGTTGAGTATAGTATATATGAATTCGTGTGCCCAAGCCCGCATATTGTATAATTCTTAATCTTCGCTATCAACTAGTTTCAGATAGATGTGAAATTTTTGCCTGTCTTGATTATGAATCGACCAAGAGCGCAATCTCGGCGTTTAATAATAAGATGTTGTTTATGATGCCATTACCATTACTGTGATATTATTATAAGGAAAGAATTGATCGGGCCTTATGGTGATATCATAATCCACTGCGATGAGTAATATGACACTGCCTGTAAGAATATTTTGGACCGAAATTGGATAGTGTTAGTGATGTATTCCGATCACACTTAATAATGCACATCTTTCGATTTGATGAGTTCAACGGCAAAGCACAGGTTGAAATATAATTTTGAAAGAAATGTAGAAGCGACGACGTGGTTCGGACATGTTTTCGCGAGAATCATTCCTTGCCCGGTTGGCATCAAAGGCCGAGGCGAGGGAATATATAAACAACATCGCAAATTTTGGAAGTGCCAAAAATCTACGTTTACCTCAATTGCTCGAAGAAAAAAACGAGATTGTTGAGGAGCCCATGATATTTATACTATCAACTAAGCTAACGACAAAAGGATTAATGATGCTAGCAATTGCAATCAAGCACGTTCCTGCACGATATAGTCAGGCAGGTCATGCTGAATTTGCGGTAAATTTAAGACTATATGCGATCGGCACCGCACCATAATCGCAGATTTTCTTCATAATGCCATTTATATGAAGAAAATCTGCGAGTTTACGTAAGATAACGTAACATTAGTAGAAGCAAGACGCCCTACGTTAGGCCACATAAAAAAAATTACTTGTTTAGCGTCCACCCATTTTAATTCAGTTCTAGGTCGGGCGGGCGGGTTTTTTGGGGGTTTTTTTCTTCGTAAAATGCAACACAGAATTCTGCTAAATGCAGGAAATCCAGTATATTACCACAGTCAAAACTCACTTTAATTCTTTCAAAACCCGTTCATGTTTTTTAATACAGTTCATGTTTTTAATAAAACAGAAAATTACCGTTTGGCGGTCACGCGCGAACACTTTAGCTGCGAACAGGCATATTCTGGGAAGGAAACTTTGTGTAAACGTATTACATAGCTCCCAGAAGAATAAAATCACCATTTTTTCAAGTAAAACAGTCTTTTTTATAGAGAGTTTTTGCACTAAACTCGGATGGATTTAAAAAAAAAAAATGGAGGTCGGGGACTTTTATCAGGTCGGGCGGGGATGCTAAACAAGTAATTTTTTTTTAAGTAGCCTTATGTTCAGAATCCGAAAAAGATTTCGAAGACGTTCTTTGGAAACATGCCCCTGGCTCCATTTAACTGATGTTCTCAGCTCTAGTTTCTGATACACTTCTGGGAGATCTGGGAGAAAGCGATTAAGGCATTTCAAAAATGAAATCAATCGCCACCATAATGGGATTCCCAGATCACATTTTTGTCGCCACCATAATGGGATTCCCAGACGGCAATCTTGGAAATCAGTGTGTTTTTATATATAGTATTTAGTATTAAAATTAGTCAAGTAGATGCATGTAAACAGTACCTATACATACACTGAAGATTTTACCCTGTTTAAATAAATGTTCAATGGACTCTATTAGTAAAACGCGGACTAGGATCACAATTTTGCACCCATATTTGACCAAAATGGGACAAAATGGCAGCGAGTTTTAAAATCCCAACAAGTCTGAAAAGAAAGGCAAAAAAGGAACCAGAGTAGCCAAAGTTTGAGTGGAAACCTTTCGAAAAAGAAAAGAAATTGGGTTGCGGTATGTTTGGGTCTGTATACCTAGGAAAATACAAAGGAAAACCAGAAAATGTGGTTACCAAAAGAATAATGTCCGTTGACTTGACATCCCGTTTCGTGAAAGAAGCCGCACTGTTGAACAGTGAAAAAGGCCACAGGAACATAATCCGGTTCCTTGAATTTTGTAAAGAACCACTCAGTAACGATGCATGGAACTATTCTTGCTTTGATTTTTGCCCGTTTGGAGTTGCAAAAAGCCTTTGCACTCTAGAAGATTTTGTCCATTTCGTAGACGACGAGTTTGACTTTGACATTGCCTCCTTCGCAGACTTGCTGCCAACATGTTCCAAAGATGTTGTTGAAGGTTTGAAATATTTGCACAGCAAGAATATCGTTATAATTTAATAAATATTATGAATTAAGATAATCTCTTTGCACTAATTAATTTTCATTCAGTGCATGCTTTTTTCAAGTATATGATATATGACACACATTATGCCAAAGAATGCAAGCCAAAAAATGCAAGGTGAGAAAAGTTCGGAGAAGCCAAA